GACAGTGTTATGTTATAAGAATAATGACTTCAGAAGTATCAAGACATCAAGCAAAAAAATCAAGCTCCTCAAATTATTTTCAAAAGAAGTGCTACAAAAAAAGAGGGTGCCTGGGACTGGATGCATCCAGTACTGGGTGGAAGTCCTGTTCCTGTCCTACCATATTAAAGAATTTCATGATATTCCTGTACCTAGGATGTGTCGCTTATAACAAAAAGATTTTTAAGAATTTAGCGTTCAGTACTGCTCTGAGAGAGAGGGCGAGCAGGGCAGACAGGCGCTGGCCGAGAGTGGTGCTGCCATTCCGCGACGTGAGCGCTGAGGCTGGTCACTCGTGGTGCGGCCAGGTTTACAGCGTGTTCCTCCGAAAGGCCAGGCACCTTCCACAGCACACCTGCCTTCCGGTATAGATTTTACGTAAGTCTTTCTTTAGAAGACTGAAAAGAGGGCTGGATAATTTCATTGGTTTACAGAGCTCTTTTTCATTTTCTCGTATCAATAACTTCTGAGTTATTTCCCTGAACAGCACTTCTAAAAAGCATTCTTTTGTTGTTATAATCTAAACATATTTCAGACTGAGCATTGTTTACTTTAGTTCCTAGCATACAAGATTGCTAGTATCTAATAATCTTGATATATAAAACATCATACAGTTCAAACTAATACATACATATGGATCTCATAAGGAGCATAACCTCGGGTGCTATTAAAAACAGAGGCACAGGTGCTCTGTAAGGACAGCAGCTACAACTTGCTACACAATGTCCTGCACTTACTACTTAGGAAAGCTTCCCATCGGGCACCCAGCAGGCCAGCAAGGGGCCTACGCTCAGCAGCAGGGTCTGTCTGGCACTTTAGGTGAGATGGCAAAACAGGTCCTGACAGACAAAACGACTTTGGACTAAAGACCTACGGGAATGGAGAGACTGTCGAGGGGGCCGTCTGGGAGAGAGCCACAGCCGCAACCTCCGCTGTCCCTGAGGCACCCGAGGGCAGATCCCCCTGGGTTTACTGTTGCTCCAGTACCTAACTGAGTGTTGATACACTGTGCAAGTTGAGCTTAGAAGTTTGACTAAGCCACTCAGCCGGGACCAGGGTCCTCACTTTGTAAACATCCTCATCCTGGGCAAGCAGAGGGCACAGAGATGCTGTGAGCGCTACACCCGCCCAGTAACCTCCTTGTGATACAAGCGAAGGCAGAGGCCTGCTGCCCGCCTCACCTGCCGCCTCACCTGCCGCCCCTCACCACGCTGTCCTGCCCTGGAGCCAGCTGATTACGGACTGGAACCCCCACCAACTGGGAGCTAAATAAGCCTTTCCTTCCTCCACCATGGGGTGTCAGGTATTTTGTCCCAGGAATAGTTGTGTAATATATATATATACACACAAATGCTCAGTGAAGCTGTTTTTCCCACAAGTGGCCACATAGCCACTGCGCCTTTCTTCTTCCATGCCATGTTCCTTAGGGATCTTCCTAGTCAGCTGCTCCTAAACACAATGTTATGGTCGTTATTATAATATTACCATACCATAGCATGTGTTTTAATGTTACACAATAAATATTTCTATTTCTTTTGTGTGCCACAGTTTGCATTCCAGGGAGAGGAACATAAGTCTATCTCCTTGAGTACTGCTCTCCAGATTTTGGTCCCAGGTCTGATACACAGTATCTGTTCCATATTCAAATAAATGAATGAAACAGTCTGAATGAATAACAAAGTCACAAAGGAAAAAAATCAAGACATGGTTTCAGGACAGTAGGGTTTAGTCACATGTAGAGGAACAAGGCAGCTGGGTGGAACTCAGCAGATTATGCAGAAGCAGGGCTATGGTCTGGGGCACGATCTGACAGTCCCTATTCTATCTGGGAGAGAGAGAGAGATGCTATTACTGGGGATATAATGAAGGGGATATGGAATTTTCTGGATGCGAGGTTTATTAAAATTTTTATACCAAGTAAACTTTGGTTTTTCTCCTTTTACAAAAGGCTCTCTGTCAATGGGATAAGTAAAAAGTTTACCCTTCAGGAAGGGTTATAGGTAGAACAGAACTTAATAATCAGCTCTCCAGTTTGATTTTGTTGCTACTTCTAAGCATTAAAAAAAAACCATAAAGTGTAGTTTAATCAGCCCCTAATGATCCAGCCTAATCAGTAATCAACAATCTAGCTTCAAAGATTATCACATGATCTATATCTTATCATTATTCAGAAGTTACCACTATTAATTCTTAAATTTCAAGAGGCAATGATTTAAAAAACCGAAATTAAGACACATGATATTTTCTTAAAGATACAATGAAAAATCATGCAAAAGAAAAAAACCTAGGACCAATTCTAAATCAATCAATTGCCTTAAAATTAGAACCAGCAACATAATCAGCATCTGAAATAGAAAGTTACAGGAAGAAGAAAAGAGCTAAGTGGGCTAAAATATACTCGGTGTATTTAGGAGACACTAACACTCAGTCCGTCTCAGTCCTGGACATACATGGTGCTGAAATGGCGATTAGCCCACGACTTCAGGCAGTGCAAGCACCGCTGACTACACTGCCCCTCCCTGGACCTACTTCTGATTTGCGTTAGCATGTCCACAACTCCAGAGGCACGCTTCTTCCACAGAGTGGGTGCGAAGGGTTGAAGCTGCTCTCCCTCGTGCCCCTGCGGGGGCCACTCAGCCAACAGCAGTGCTACTTGCTGCAGAAGCCTTCCCTGAGCTCTCAGCCTGTGTCAGGCCACACACCGCGTATCTGCCCCTTTTACCTTTCCATCATCAGTTAAGCAGAACTGTAATTACTTTTCAAAGTATATTCCTCACTTTAATAAACATTTCATTGGCAATCACCCACTCGGGACCCCCCTCCTGTCCCTCTCTTGGACAGGAGCTTTCTTTCCCTCAATAAATATATTCTGCTCATTAAAAAAAATAAAAAATAAAAAACATTTCATTAAAAAAGAACCACGACTCCACCTCCTCGGATAGGTAGCAGGAACCAGGCTAACTCTCCTTTACTTCCCACAAGCTCACCGCACATCCTACAAATGTGATACAGGTCTTTTTAATGCCGATGTTAATGATTATAATTATTTTTTTATTTTTTGGCGGAACCAGGAATTGAACTCAGGCCCTTGCACTTGCCAGAGAAGCGCTTATTCCACTGAGCCAACCCCCCGTCTAATGATTATAATTTGCCAGGATCTTCAAACAACCATTTATAAAAACATTTCTTCACCTTTCTCAACTCCCATTTAAATGCAGGTATTTCTAAAGACCTTGTCTTTGGCTCCCTTCTTTAGTTCTGCTGTCTAGATGTGGTTGCTTCTACCTCCGCCCCCCCCCCAGCATCCCTTTTATTTCCTATATGCACCAATGGTAAGCCTTTACATTAGTGGCTTCCTAGTATTAACAATTTCTTATGGTCAATTCCTCAGTGAGCTTGGAACGTTCTTGACCCTAACCTTAAACAGTAATGCAGCAGAAGTGAGACTAGGCTAGCTCCAGGACTCACTCCTCTTCAAAAATGTGGCAGCTTTAAGTTCTGTGTTTATCCTGAGCACTAGTAAGTTTCAGCCAGCACACTGGAGACATGTGAAGAGAACATATAGCAAAGAAATGGCTTAGAGACTGTGGGTGGAGTCAGCCATCTCTGCATCCTGAACCCTACTTGCAAACAATCCACAAGGCCAGGGCAGCCACATCAGTGGCCACTGGTGAAACCAGCAGAAGAGCCAACCAGCTGAGCCCAGTCCCACTGCAGCCCAGTCCCACCAGAACAAGTAAATGTAAAGTGTGTTCTTTCAAGCTGTAACATTTACCTTTGCTAAACTAGACCTAAGAAAATTAATGCTACATGCAAAATTTAAATCCCTAGCTGTGACTATTCTCTAGAGATCTAGATCTAAATTTCATACTCTAGATTTAAATTTCCATGTAGATATCTTACCTGAAGCTCAGCTTCATCTTCAACATTTGATAAATCAGAATCTAGTATCTCACCTACTTGCTATATAACATTGTATAACCTATTGATTCAAAATTTTTTGCCTCGGAATATTAGCTCTGTGGAGTATTTCCATAGATATCTTGGTAGACATGTTTCAAATACAATTCTCAGTCTCACCATGACATGGGTCACAAAAACTAACTACAAGCAAATAAATTTAAAGAAATTATTGTTCAATTTTGAATACTACTTAGGCCAAAACAAAAGTATGTAGAAACACACCTTAGCTATCTGACTTTGAGAAGGTAACTCACACAGTCTGATCCATAAGTATGAAATGAAATACTAGGGTTAGGAGTCAAAGAATCTCTGACTTTTTAACATAAGTTAGGATTTTATCTTTATGGGGACATCTCGCACACACTAGACTACTAGAGAGGCAACACAATGTCATACAGCTCAGGTTCACATTTTAAGAAAGTACAGAAATATTAACTATAGAACCAGGATTTATATGAAGGTTCTGTCAATTGACAGTTCTTTAAGTTTTCTAGGCTCCAATATCCTCACCCATTTAATGAGAATAAAAATAAATCTATAGGGTTATTATGAAAATTAAATGACTCAGTATTTCAAAGTATCTAGAACCTGCACAGTATACAGTGAAATAGGTTCTAACTTCTTAAGCACATCCACAAGCTCCTTTTCTAACAAATAAACTGCTTTATTTTCATACGTTTGTTTCTTCAAATGTCTCTAAGAAATCAATGTTCATGTAGTGAGCACTCTAACTAAATGCTCTGCCTTGAAATCACTGATACTGTTAATGAACGTGGTTAGAGGTAACCGAACACTATTTTCAAATGAAGAAATGTTACCAGGGCCTGGGGATGCTGTGAAAGACAGAGCATTCATCTAGCACATGCGAGGACCTGGCTCAATCCGCAGCATGACCATAAAGGAAAACATTTTTTCAAGAGATATTATCTCCACTTCAGGATAGACACATACACTCTCTGTCTCACGTCAGTAATACAGTGTAGCGCTCTGCTACTCACCACCCACCGCCTTCGGCTTCTTGGCAACGTATTCCTTCCATCTCCTTGAGCTGAGCTGGTTGGGAGGCGGGATGAGTATGCTGCTAATTGTACACGGCAGCGTGAAAAGAGCACCAACCTGGAACACAGGACATGTTTTACTGATCGCAGACCCAACTCCTGCTTGCACGGGGCGATCCCCACCCACAGGGCTCTCAACACCACCACGATGAAGCTGAAATAGGCCCCCCCACGCGCTGCGAGAAACCAAAGGCAAGCGCAGACAGGTGTTCAGCGCTGCTGGGTCCCTTTTCCACTCAAGTGTGTATTTCTGAAAAACCTTGTTCTTCACACTATTTACTTATGTTCAGGGTGTGGGTTAATTTCTTTGTATACCTATAAAATAATGAGGCTGAGAGTTCTAACAAAAAAATTTTGTCTTACTTAGCTGTAATTATAGGACCTCTGACTGATGGATTGTTGTTATGGTTTCAAAATTATACTACATCTGAAGACAAAATAGGAATTTGTTTTTCCTAGAAACCAGAGACTTAATGTTGATAAGTAAAAACTACAGAGGTGATAATGAATTACATTACAGAAAATATAGAACAGCTATAGACTGATTTATGAGCAATCACAACTTATTTATCTTTCTACTCCCAGGGATGGGCATACAGATGTTTATATAAATATTTGCTCAAAAAAAATCACCATAATATATTTAAGTAAATTCTCAATTTGATTAAAGACTAAATTAAACAAATTACAATTATGAAAACTGCATTTTGCCTATTTAGAAATACAGCTACATCAATCAGCACATCCCAATAAAGACATTAACTTAAAAAAAAAAAAAACTTTGGGAAGCATAATGAATTAGTCAAAGATCTTAAGTCTACTGTAAATTATTTTTATGTAGCAGTCTGTGCAAATGTTGCTATCTATTATGTTTACTTATGCATTCATAATTAACAGATAAAATCTGTATTTTAGAAACAATAAAGATAAAAGTAAATATGACTATAACTATAGTCTTTTTAAAAGAATACATGTTTTACCAAGTCAGGAATTAGCAATTTAAGATTTAGCAGTCGATACATCTAATGTTCTAACGTGAACTACTCCTTTCCTGCGTATGTAAAATTTCAGAGCCCAAGGCGCAGGTCCCCAAGTTTGATGAAGCAGTTAGGGGACTGCGCCCCACCGGGCCCCAGCCATGTCTTTCCCGGTGTTTCTTTTTCTTTCTTCTTTTTTGGCAGAACCAGGGATTGAACTCAGGCCCTTGCACTTGCCAGGGAAGCGCTCATTCTCCTGAGCCATCTCCCCGGCCCTCACGGTGTTTTAGACACGTCAAGTGCCACCATCCGATGGGGGAGAGCTGGCCACTTCCCTCGCACTGCCTACTTTGGACTACTCTGCTCGCTCTCCGCCCACACCAATCAATCACGAGGCAGCCTTGAGAGGGCGAGGCTATCAATCTATCTCCAGAATTTAAAGGACAAACTGTCTCCAGTCTGGTTTCAAAACCTGGATTGAATCATTTCAGTCGGGCCTCCCTAACAAGCAGTCCCTATGACAATCATTTTAATAGCTTTGCGATTTCCTCGCTATAAATATATGGCTGGGCCGGCCAAACAGCTCAGCGGACTAAAGCCCCTACTAGGGCCAGGCAGAGCGGAGCGCAGCAGCCACGGATTAGATGCCCGGGTCTGCCTTGCGGGCACCGGCCCCGCCTCCGACCTCCGCCCCCCGCCCCCGGGGCACGCTGAGACAGCATCAGATTGGGCATGGTGGCACGTACCTCTGTAATCCCAGCTCTCGGGAGGCTGAACACAGGCAGAACACTACAAATCTAGTCTCCTTGGGGAGACCCTGTAGACCCCATAGACCCGTACGAAAGTACAAAAAAAAAAAACCTCCAGGAAAAAAAAAAAATCAAATCAGAAATAATTTCTGAGACAACTAAAGGGATAGTGAGCATAATGAAAGACATGCTTAGTGCCCCTAGAAGAGATACAAATGTAAAAGTATGTACATATATATGCATATATATGGCTGTGTAGACACCCCACTTGCTACCAATCCTACCTTGTCTCTTCTTAACCTAGGAAAATGAGCTTTTCTCCAAGGAGCTTTCATGTATATTTTGGAGAGATGGAAGGAAGGACAACCTTTCAGTGCTCGAACATTTACTGAGAATCACTCGGATCACGAGACCCTGAGCCCCACGGACACTCGTCCATGCCATCCGCTCAACAGTAGGCAAGCAAAACAAGCCACTGCAGCACCGGAAATGGAAACTCAGGTGCAGAGCACAGGGATCACTTCAAGGAACGAGCACGTAATGGGGTTTTTTTAAGCATGCAATTCAAAACTAAGTTTTTTTCAAAAATATAAAAGATTAATTGTGATCCAATATAAAAGAAAAATAAACTGCTTCAAATTGAGAGATTTATTCTCTAAGTTACATAATATGTCTGTATATCCCTTTTGCTGTATTAAGAAACTTACATGACTATGTACTGCTCACTGACAGTGTTCTAATATCCTACAGTCATGTCGGAGAAGCCATAAAAACCACAATCTAAGACAGCATATTGAAGGGGCCGGGGAGATAGCTCAGTAGAATAAGCGCTTGCCTGGCAAGAGTAAGGGCCTGAGTTCAATCCCCAGTTCCAGCAAAAATAAATAAATAAATTTTAAAAAATAAAATAAAAAAACCCAGCGCTGAAGAGGCTGAAACAGGATCACTATGAGTCCAAGCTGCATAGTGAGATCCTGTACCAAATACATATAAGAAAAAAATAATGATAATGAGACAGCATATTTAAAACAAAACAACTGAAAATATGACAGCAAATATCAAGTTAACTTTGCTTTTAGAATTAGTGTTGCCCATTGTCAATAGCTAGATGAATTAATGATTATTTTATACTTGTATTAAATAACTTATAGATATCTATCTGATTTTTACTAGAAATATTATGTCACAGGCCAAGTTATCAAATAAATACTCTGACATGCTATTCAAATGTTATTAAACTTACGGGGACATTGAGGCCTGAAGCCAAGATTTTAAGTTACCAGACAATCAAGCTTTCAAGGGCAAGACCGTACTCCTTACTATATCAACTTGCCACAGGAATCATCCAAGATTTCACTTTAGCATGATGGCAAAACTGCTACAAATAAAATAATTATTTCTTCTTCAGGAGTGTTTGCTAACAGTGCATTTGGTGTTAAAATGATAATGCTATACAATATGGTCAGTAAATGTTGTGTTCATTAAAAGTTATTTTCACAGAAACATAACAGTTGAATAACGAGAAAGAATGTACTTTGTTTTTACTAAAAATTTTACTTGACTTTTGATACATGATTCTACTTAGAATTCTTTATATTCTAACTTAGCAAAGTAAAAATATATCAGTTTTATATCATTATAAATATAAAACTATTAAAATAGCTATGAATCTAAGCATCATTATACTTATAAGGAAAAATGATAAATTTACAGATAATTGGGTGAAGCTCTACAAGTCTTTCTCTGCTCTACCATGAAACAATAGTGCAGGCATATCAATGGCTTCCCACAGAACTGAAATGGGGTACTAAAGGGTTAATGATTACAAATAACATCTTTGTGAAGACACCATGTTAAAAACCCTGTGTTTCTATTAGTGACCATTCCTGGGTAGAATAAAAATATCTGCCACCCACCAGTCACAGGGGGAGAAAGCAATTGGGGCTCTGGCTGCTAAGACTGTGGTCCGTGGCCAGTCGCCTCCACAGCAGAAGCGCCAGGGTGGGAAGGGGTGGCAGCCAGGAAGCAGGGGCAACAAGAAAAGCCAGAGAGCAGGGGCTGGGCCCAGGCACGGTTCCCCAGGTCATGCCCTCAGGACCCGCCCCACAACATCCAGAAGTGTGCCTTACTACTTTTCTGGGCGTTTCTCAAACTAATCAAGTTAATAACCAAGAGCAACACCATCTTGGTCTAAAATTTTGAAGCCATTACCACGTATAAGACTTATTACTGAGAACCTTCTAACATCACCTTGCCTGCAAAGCATTTGACTGGGAAAAGTCAAGCGATCTCGCATAAAATGGGGCCAAAGTCCAGCGACTTAAAGAAACCAAGTTAGCAAGCAAAAGCAGATTAATGAGCTATATTCATTTTCTTACACATCTTCCAATATTAAACACAAAAATATAACGCAAAAAAAAATATATATATATATAACTCAAAGAAAGCCTTGTTTACCTTGCCACACAGAGAAGAAATCTGCTCCAGCAGCAGCACGGAGTTCTGCCTGCTGTTGCTTTCTGACAGTCCTCTGGGTAAGGAATTAAAGAAACTAGGGAACAGAAAGCTAGAACTCATTCCATGCCCTAGGCTGGAGTTTCTCAATTCTTCCAACAAGCTCACTACATCTGTTTAATAAAAACCAACATCAGGAATTAACAATCACTTATTTCCTTAAAATATTTTTTTTCTGATTATTTGTTCTGAACATCATTACTATAAAGTACCACAATAAGACCTTTGTAAAAATTCTACATACAAACTTTAAGAGTTCAGGGCCAGGGAGATGGCTCAATAGAATAAGTGCTTCCCTGGCAAGCGCAGGGCCTGAGTTCAATCCCTGGTTGCGCAAAAAAATTTTAAAAATAATAAAATAAAATAAAACTTAAGAGTTCATATTCCTCTTCTATTCAAAGTTTCTTTTTATATAAAATGTTCTGCTTTTAGGCGTGCTTCTGAAAATTCCTGGCACACATTTTCCTTTCCTCTTGGAAAAGGGTCTTGATCTGTACTTCAGAGTAGCCTTTTTTTTTTCCATAATTTTATTGAGAAACAAATAGTAATGAGACAGTTTCAAACCAAATTGGTAGGACAGATTCAATAATTAACACATTGCATACATTCTTCCTAGTTAATGTTAATTGCTGTACAAGATGCGGACTTGATATCCTATTTACAAACATCATTAGAACAAATCCCTCTATTCATCAAGAGAATGTAACGATATATCTTCCTAACCACATTGAATACACTGATACAAAATGGACATACATCTGTATTCCCTTTTTTTCTTAAGTTTCACCATTTCAATATTATAGGTGTGCAAACTCAGCAAAATATTCTAAAAGAGTTCTTTAGTCCATAATAGTATTGGGTCTTCTGCTTGACTGGCAATACCAGAAATTGTTGGCCTGAGTCCTCTACAGCTCAACATAACAGCATGGCTTTACTTGTTATACTGCATTTTTATACTTTTTTGCTGGATGGTTAAGACCAAGGTAAAGCAGGACCTATGCAACAAGAGTTGTAGCTTTTCGGTCTGAAAAGGTCAGTGAAATCCCCTCAGGATTTATCCTGAGATCCTATACTTCAGTTTGTAGAACCTTTGTCAGTGTCAGCCATTGTTTGACCAATGTGCTCTCTGAAAAAGCCTGAGAGAATGTTTTCTCTCCATGTGACTCTCCTTAGGCACACTCTACATCATCGATCACTTTCCTCTTTGGCCACATAATCTTGATCAGAAAATTTGGGACACTACCAAATTACATGTCGTTACAGTACAAGTTCTCATATGTCCTGAGTCTTAAGAGACCATGGAAGGCTAGGGCCAAAATGTTGGTTCTCCTTGCAGCCCTCCTTTTTCTCTAATTTTGGTCTGCAAACTTAGGTTGTTAACCCTCCAGAAGACAAGCTTATTGTTATTACCATACAACCTAGGCTGTTAAGCTTAACCTCACTGTCTGAATATCAAACATCTTAGGCATGACATGGAACAGGTATTTTTCATCAAGTATTGATATGCTGAACTTTAAGTCCCTACAGAATATAATGAAAAAACATTAAAAAATTAGAATATATTTTAAAAATAGGCATAAAGAATTACGTACTTATGTTTACACATAAGTCCAAAAATCTAATCATATACAACCTTGAAGCAGGACAGTCCCACAATATTCCTTTTCCTATCTCTTGCCTTCATTCACCACCCCCTTCTTTTTGAACAATCATCTACCTGAGAAACAGCACAGCAGCAACTGGCATGTCATGACAAACAGCCCGTATTCAGAAGACCAGAATGAGAGGCAGTGCAAGCATGAAACTACTATTACAGATTACCATCTTCAGTGCAATTGTTTAGTTCACAGGTATCAGTATATATAGTTAGTCAGGGTAAAATCTTACTGCTAGATTCAAAAATCTTCTGGAGATTCTCAGGATCATTGCCTTGCCCAACTTCTACATATAACTGTATGGCTTGATATTGTCATGTTTCCTAGATCTTCTCCTTTCCCTTTTTTGGTTAGTCCTCGAGATCCTGCTTTCCTTTTACTTATATTATACCTTTCTGTTTGTGTTTCTTCTTTTGAGTTCTTATACTAGGGGAACTATATGATATTTGCACATGTGTGTCTGGTTTATTTCACTTACAAGTATATGTTCAAGTAGCATCCACTTCAATATAAAGGCTTCGAGTTTATCATTCTTTCTAGATGAGTAATACTCCATTGTGTAAAAATACCGTATCTTTTTCAACTGTTCCTCAGGTGAGAGGCATCTTGGTTGTTTCTAAGATTTGGTATCACAAATTGTGTTGCTGTAAATATAGGCACACATATATCCCTATGATATGATGTTTTCAGATCCTC